ATATAGCCCAGCTTCTCGGATTATTTGCTCAACATACAGATTGAATAAGTACAGTGAAAGGATACAACCCTGACACACACCTTTCTTGACTTTAAACCACACAGTATCCCCTCGCTCTGTCTGAATGACTGCTTCTTGGTCTATGTACAGGTTCCTCATGAGCACAATTAAGTGTTGTGGAATTCCCATTCTTCGAAACATTATCCATAATTTGTTATGATCCACAGCGTTAAATGCCTTTGCATAGTCAATAAAACACAGGTAAACGTCTCCAGGTGCTCACTATTTTATCATCCTGTTCATTTCCTCCATTGCGTGTTATGATTCCCAGTTATATTTTAAATTTATTCATTACTCGATCACTCTTCATCTTTCCCTACTAGTAAATAAGCTCCACGCTGTCTTTGCCACCCACTGTATCCTACGAACAAGCATATAGTGCCTGGCATGCTCAAAAATATTTTCATTGTATTAGTGATTGAAAATCAATGTGTCTGCTATCACAGTTTTGGAGAGAAGGAAACGGTATTACAACTGGCACCATACACAAAACTCAATTCTCAGTTGCTATTTTAGTATAAGTTATTTGTGTCATCTCCACACAAAAAGATAGATGGCCTCTGTGATCACCTGCAGCTTTTGCATTTCCAACTATTTCATGATTCATGCAAGAGCCTAAGTTCATGATTTAAGAAGTTATCTAGTCTGGGTAGCTTTCGCTCAACAAAGATTTTAACCAAGTTATAAACTGTCCTATTTTTGTGGTTGTTTCTCCTATAAGTGGGGACAAGCTTTTGTCCCTCCTGGCCATCTAATTAATTTGTTGACTCAAATTCCCATGAATAAATTTGTTACCAAGTATGATAGATGTATGTGGGTGGTTCCAAGTCTGAAAGACTAAATTGTTCTTACATTGAAAGGACAGTAATAATCCTCAAATTGAGAACAAAGCCCGTAATACTTCTTAAATTCACAAGTCTATATTTTTAAGAGGTACTCACCCGTTTGGCTGACGCAATCACTGCAAAGCAGGCAATAATTGTGAGCCCAATCATTATGTAGCAAGCTTTCACTCGAGCTTTGTTTCTTGCAGCATCTATCATTTCTGGCCTAAACCAAGATGTGTATTTTATTAATTATATTAAAGTAATATGGTCTTCTGACAGGCATGATAGAAAAGTATTTGTCATGCAAACATTCCAAAAATTTCCCTGAATGCCAGGGATGGATTACCCAATAAACAAGGTATGCACGGGCTTACTTGGGCTTACTAATTTGTAGTGCACAATTTCACCTGTTTTTCACCACGTCTTTGATTGTGCACTACAGACTAGTAAGTAAACACAATTTAGCCCGTGTGAACCTTGCTTACTGGTTAATCCGCCCCTGCCAAATGCAAACTGCAGATGTGAAAGGTTTCCAAATGCTAGCCCATTATTTTAATAACTTCAATTAACAGGTGGTTATGCAGATCTTAAGTGTGACCAGTTGAGTTAGTTCTGACTCATGGCAACCCCATGTGTGTCAGAGTAGAACTGTGCTCCACAGGGTTTTCAGTGGTTGATTTTTCGGAAGTAGATTGCCAGACCTTTCTTCCAAACTTTTGGTTAGCAGCCGAGACCAGTTAACTGTTTCTACCACCTTAGCCACTATGAAGCCATAATGTAGTATATTTAGTTTCAAATTACTCAAAATATAACCCCTAACAATTGTGGTCTGAATTTTCATCTTTTTTTTTTTTAACTGATTAGGGTAAAGATTCAAGCATATGTATATCTGTGACTCATATTCCTTTAAAAAAAAAAAAAACCATTGCCGTTGATTCCATCTAATGGTGACCCCATGTGTTACACAGTGGAACTGCTCCAAAGAGTTTTCTTGCCTGTAATCTTTATCGAAGACTGCCAGGCCTTTCTTTCGTGGCACTGCTGGGTGGGTTCCAATGCCAACCTTTAGATGAGCAATTGAGTGCAAACCCTTTGCGTCACCCAGGAACCTGCTGTGTTCCTTTAGCCCCTGTATTAAGTAGGCTTTGTTTTCAGTTTTGAACAAATTTTTTTAAAAACTCATATTCATCACTTTGTGTTTCCAATGGCTCCCTCATCCCATCCTGTCCCAAGTAAAGAGACTATCACATATGTTGTAAGAATGGCTGTTGGAGAAAGGGTATTTCCTTCATGGATTTCACATGAAGTCTTTAAAAGAAGTCATCAAAATCACAATTATTTGTCATGGAAAAAGACACAAAAATGCTCACCTTTTTGTTATTATTATTCTGAAATTTGATATGCTTATTTGAGTCTGTCAGTTTGTTGTATTATGAGGGCTTGTGTGTTGCTGGGATGGTGAAAGCTATGCCACCAGTATTTCAAATACCAGCCGGGTCACCCATGGTGGACAGGTTTCAGCTGAGCTTCCAGACTAAGACAGACTAAGAGGAAGGACCTAGCGGTCTACTTCTGAAAAAAATGAGCTGGTGAAAACCTTATGAATAGCAGCAGAACACTGTACATACGGTCGCTATGAGTCAGAACTGACTCAACGGCACCTAACAACATCATTTGAGTATTGGGTAGTCTTACTTATTAATAAAGTTATATGCACATCCAAGATTTTAGCAATACTGCTTACAAAGTAGTATTACTTACAAAGCAGTATCAGGAGAGACCAGTCCCTGGAGAAGGATATCATGCTTGGTAAGGTACAGGGTCAGCAAAACAGAGGAAGACCCTCCATGAGATGGACTGACACAGTGGTGGCAACAATGGGCTCAACCATAACAACAATTATGAGGATGGTTCAGGACTGGGCAGTGTTTTGTTCTGTCGTACAACTAGATAGCACCTAACAACAACATTATATAAATAATCATGCCTGTGGGGCTTTTATGTTGAAATAAGCTTTAACAACTTGGAACAATATGAAATGTCAGTTTGTAAATATACATAACTAAAGTACTTGGTTTTTGAGAATGTATTCAGCACTATTCTTTCTTATCTAATGTCAAGTTTAGTTGAGTGTAATTACATAAAAAATACTCCAGAAAGATAAGTCACAATATTTCTTAAAAATTTAAAACTGTTCCTTTAACCTTTCCACTTGTTCAAAGAACACAGAAAACCAGTATCTAGCCTGTTTTCCTTAGATTTTAGGGAGAATGATGTAAGTTTTAAGATGTTAGTTGAAAACAGGTTCAATTAGTGAATATGGAGACATTATTAGATTACACTAGTTGCTGACTTTTGCTCTAAATGGAACCTAAAAGAGCTGATCTTTTTTATCCATCCGTCTGGGGTTGAGCTGTTATACCAAATTAGTTTAGTACCAAAAAAAACAAGAAAAAATACCATTATTGTTAAATACCATTAGTGTGTGGTAGAGAAATTATAGGTCACTTATTAATTATATGCTCATTAAGAACATAAAAAGTGAAAGCTGTTTACACTGAAAGTCTAACACTTAGCTTGGCAGGAATATCCCTCCTAAATAGCAATGCTTAAAAAAAGATTAGAAGATTATAAAATGAAAAATATTTAAATACTTTTGTTTCCAACCCTAAACCACAATGCTTTTTATAGATATATTGTTCATGGTTAAACCCTCATAACTGTTTACATCTTTTGACAGCGATCCTAGGGAAATTAAATTATTTCTGTAAAATATGTTTTTCTTGCACACACAGCTATATTAATGCAATACTGCGCATAGTATAGCTTGACAAGCATTCATTTACCATAATGTTGGTTCTTTACATTCTAGATTACTCTGTTATAGCACTAGAAGTCAAAATCCAAAAATTGAGGGTGGTGTTTTATTTTTCATTTTGTATAGGCTCTCTTTATATCGTTTACTTAAAACATTAAATTCTCAGGCAGTTGTTAAAGTTTGATAGCCAGAGCTTGTAACAATAAAGGCTTTTCTGAGGCTAATTTCTGCTTTAGGCTAAGAAGTTAGCCCAATTTATTCATAATTTCCAAAAATTGGAAGCAACCAAGATGTCCTTCAATAGGTGAATGGATAAATGAACACATATACGCTTTAACTCTATGGAGTCTATAGATCTCAAGGAAAGCAAATAGAATGTTTTACAATTTTCAAAAATGTCTCTGTGGTTGAATAAATGCTAAAAGCAGATTTTAAATTCCAGGTTATAAGCCATTCTTCATTAACTAACCTGATCCAAGAAAATAATGAAAATGTTTTAAGAATTCATACTGAGTGAACATTTTCCACCACACTTTCCCTGTCATTTATTTGAGATGCTGCTGGTAGCTGCTAAACTAATAACCAATAAAACTGCAGACAATATGTGCAAAAGAATATGTAGGCACAGTTTCTATCATCCTTTCTAAATAGTGATCGATTACACTGTGTAAATATACACAGAACATCTGAAAATGTTGTTTGACTTGATTCTAGTCTCCCTATTTTTTTTTTTAAAGGAGTCCATATGCAGTGGTTAAAGCGCTTGGCTGCTAACCAAAAGATCAGTTCGAACCCACCAGCTGCTGGCGGGATAAAGACGTGGTAGTCCGCTTCCATAAAGATTTACAACCTTGGAAACCCTATAGGGCAGTTTTACTCTGTCGCTATGAGTTGGAATAGACTGGATGGCAGTGGGTTTGTGTTTTTTTTTTAAGCTCAGTTTTTAAAAAGTAACAGCTGATTTTATTGCTAAGAAGATTTTTTAGGCTTGAAATAAACTGAAATTCTAGGATTTTTTAAAATTTTTTTTAACAGTTTACCTTTACTTGCCTGGAGGTGAAGTCGTTAGCTTGAGTTTTATCATTTAACGAACTACTGTCTGGTGGTTTTAGGATGGTGAAGAAGCCAGCGACGCTGAAGCGCCCGCGGGACCCAGTTGGAATAGACTCGGTGGCGAGAGGGCTGCAGAGCCTCGTCCGCCGGAGTCTCCCACCCCTAAAGTGGAGACTGGGTGGATGCGGCTTCTTCTCAGGAGAGCCTCTAGCTGTTCCACGTAGCCCTGGCCCTCGGACAGAGAGGGGAGCTGCCCCCGGGGAGCAGCCTCTCTCCCTCTCTGGCGCCCCTACACCAAGCCGGGCGCCTTCGGTTTGGCCTAAGTGTTCCCACCGCGTCGCCGCTCAGAGCTTGCGTGGGACTGGTATCTGGGCAATGCTGGAAGTGCCTAGTGAACTTGTGAGTTTTCATCCAACTTCAACAATCTCCTTCAGAGCTCAGCTGCCCACTGTGCAGTCAAGGACTTGGAATAATGTTATTTAGCCGCACTAGGGAGTCTTTCTCTGTGAGTTGGAATCCACTCGAGGGCAACGCGTTTTTAACGGGTTTAGGGGGTCATAGGTAAATTCCTTATTAAGATGGGGTGTTACTGCGAAGAACTGGGTGCGCTGCGGTTGGCGGTGGATGGACCCCGCCCCCCTTGCCACCGACTCACCCCCGCACGCGCGTAACCCGGTCTGCACCACCCGCCACGCTTACGGGACCCGAAGCGGGATCTCCTCCATCGATTTGAAACGCCCAGTCCACAGCAGGAGTTTCTTGTCGAATTGCGAAGGTCTGTGCTCGGCAGGGACCCTGTGAACCTTCCCTGCTGCGAAAGTAACACGGATGAACAGAGAAACGGACCGACAGACCGACGGCACACTGCATCCGCGCGCTTAGGCCGCGGCCCCCCGCCCGGACCTCAGGCCCTTCGCCCGCCCTGCTGCAGCCCCCTCCTTTCCAGGCCATTCCGGCTGGACGAGGCGCCACTCTGCGTGCGTGGGCCACCCTGCGTCTTGCTCACCGGGACCTTCGGGCCCAGAGTCGCTGGGGGCCCGGCTGCTGGAGTAGCGGGGGAGGCCCCGGGGCCGGAGAGCCGCGAAGAACCGCGGCGCGGCATCTAGATGTTCCCCCGGGGAGCAGCGGACGCTGAGCCCCAGGCGGAGGCACCGGAGGCTCCTGACGGCCGCGAGCATGCTGTGCCCTTTTCCCGAACTGGCCTGCAGAGTCCTAGAGCCGCCAGCGCCGCGCTCGGTCCCAGGCTCCTGACCCCCGGTCTCCGCCCCCTGAGGCGCTCCCAGGGGAGCCCAGGACAAGCCGCTGGAGCCGGTGGCATGCACATCCTTGGCTCCCTGCCCCCTGCCAGGGGCCCCTGACTCGGGCGTCAAGGCCCTAGGGGCTGATTTTCTCTGCCTCTGCTGGAAAACTCCAGGGAACAGAGATACCCTCCTCCCGAGACAGGTCGCTGCATATGTTTTGAAATTACATCTTTGTATTCGGTAGATACGCGTTTCCATTAGGCTTTCACCCTTCGATTTTACTGTTTGGTGCCCAGGAGAATAAATCTAAGCCCTCTTCTTTGGGAAGAACCAAGGGTCTTTTAAGTTCAGGACACCGAACTTAGTGTTTACCAACACTCAGATGTTTACCGAACGAGTGTAAGGACATTCAACAAACTTCGAGTTTTCCCATGAGATTGTTTGAAGTTAGCTCCTAACCCCATAGCTCCCCACACTACACTTTTTCTGTATTCTTGGCAAAACAACCTCAATTTCTACAACCGTTTTTTTTATCTCATTTTTCTTTCTTTTCTTTTTCATTGTTGAAAATATACACAGCAAAACATACACCAGTTCAACAATTTCTACATATACAATTCAGTGACATTGATTATGTTCTTTAAGTTGTGCAACCCTTCTCGCCCTCCTTTTCGGAGTTGTTCCTCCCTAATTAACATAAACTCGCTACCCTACCCCCCAGCTTCCTATCTAAACTTTAAAGTTGCTGTTGTCAGTTTGATCCCACATAGTTCTTTAAAAGAGCACAATGCTCAAGGCAGACAGGCAGACATTCTTTACTAATTAAGGTAAACTATAGGATCGCTATGAATAGGGAATCAGTCCACAGCAATGGTTTTAAAATTTTATTTTTTTTTATTGCTTGGTTTAAAGAAGAGTTCAGGGGATATTTTGGTTTAAGGCTTAATTATCATCTCAGGGCAATAGTTTTTTTTGGGGGGAGGGGGTTCATCTAGCCTCACTGGCTCCAGAAAGTCTGGATTCTTTGAGAATTTGAAATTCTGTTCTACATTTTCCCTCTTTTGATCAGGATTCTTCTATAGAGTCTGTGATCAAAATGTTCGGTAATGGTAGCCAAACACCATCCAGTTCTTCCGGTCTCATGACAAAGGAGGAAGTTGTTCATGGAGGCAATTAGCCACAAATTTCATTTTTCCCTCCTATTCGTTACTCACTTTCCTCTTGCTTCAGGTGAATAGAGACTAACTGTTGTACTTTGGACTGCCACTTGCAAGCTTTTAAGACCCTAGACGCTATGCATTGAACTTAGGAGGTAGTACAGAGGCACTAAAAAACGATGTTAGGCCAGTTAAGCTCATCTCTCCATTTCTTAAGAAGCCCAGGAACTCTTTAAGCTCCCTTCAAAATGTGCGTTTCTTCCACCTTTCACAATCTTCCATCTGGTAACAGGTGAGAATCTTCAACTCTCTGGCATCTAAATGGCAACAGGAACTCAGAGACAATGGTTGGAGAGAAAGGAATTGCATTAAAGCTGTCTACTTTGAGGGAATTTACTCACTGTGATTATGACAACAGACCCCAGCCAAGATAAAGTGGCTTTCAGGGCCCAGCACAGGCCCACTGCATCCTCTCTTGTTTATTGTCTCTGAGGTTCCTTCCATACCTAGACACTGTCTTACACTTTTAGCTTGGTTTCCAGATATTTCTTTTCATCCTAGCTCGATTGTCAGGCTCTTGAAGGTAGAAGCTTGTTTGTAACACTGAGTGTTTTTCATATAGTGTTATTTAAAAAAAGAAGACAGATTAATACTGCTGTAAAATATGCATTTAAAGGATTGATTGTGGAAAGAGCATGGGCTTTGCCATCACCAGTTGCCGTCTAGTCGACTCCAACTCATGGTGACACCATGTGTGTCAGAGTAGAACTGTGCTTCATAGGACTTTCAATGGTTGATTATTTGGAAGTAGATCACCAGGCCTTTCTTCTGAGGCGCCTCTGGGTAGACTCAAACCTCCAACCTTTCAGTTAGGAGTCGAGAGGGCTAACAGTTTACACCACACTTCTAATCTTTATAATATTTATGATTTAAGAGTAGTATAATCATGAGTATGTCATTTAAGCTTTCAGACTTGGTCTCATTTGTAAAACAAGAATTCCTATGTCTCAGGTTCATTCATGCAGTAACTACTTACGAAAAACCTGCTTTATGCCAGTTATTTCTGAGAGCTGGGGATAGAGCGATGAACAATGTCAGATGGGTATTAGTAAATGAAGAAAAATAAGGCAAGGTAAGCAGGCGTAAAGTGGGGAAGCTATTTTTAAAAGGGTGGTTAGGGATACCCTTCTAAATGTGCTTGGCACAGGGGCAGAGTACCCAGTAAGCGAGGTAAGCACGGGCTTACTTGCACTTACTAATCTGTAGTGAACAATTTCACATGGGTTTCACCACAAAAACGTGAAATTGTTCACTATAGCTTAGTAAGTAAGTACAAGTGAGCCCGTGCTTACCTCACTTACTGGGTCATCCATCCCTGTCAGGGATTGTAAATTTGAAAAGAGGCTTTGATTCTGTAGGAAGGTGCTATGGGGTTGGGAGCGAGACAGATGCCGCTTAGGAAACAGAATCTTTGATGTGGTGAAAAAAATGTGAAATTGTTTACTACAGATGATCTGGTAAACAAGCGCTGTGCTTACCTTGCCTATTGGGTAATCCATCCCTGCCCTGGCACATACCACTTCAAAAGAAGTTATAGTTTCTTTCCCTTCACATTGTCTTTTTATCTAGTCCCAAAGCAGGAGGGTATTTTAATTCATGAACTCTCCTGCAGGGAAGTGTAGGAGGCTGTGAGCTACCTGACATTAAGGATTTTGTCTTATTTGCCACTATATCCCCAGGAAGCAGCTGAAAAATTCACACTTAATAGATACTTAGTAAGTCTTTGTTTAATTAATGAGTAAATGAATGCAAGTCTTCAAAAATAGAAAGGACTCGATCTGGGGTGGTTTAAGAAAAGACTGAAATGCTTGAGGACAAAGTATGTCCCTTTCAATTTTGTATCTCCAGTGTCTATCATGATGCCTCCCACACAGCAACCTCCAGATAAATAATGAATTCCTGCCTGAGAAAGTATGTTACCCAGGTAATATTTGATTGTTCTAGCATTATGCTACTAGAAAATTCTCCCATTATTCAAATGTGTTATTTTTCTTTTAATATTTTGTTTTTCTTCATGTCACTGAGAAGGAATATCCATGGAGCTAGAGAAAAACATCTCTGAGAAACACCATGTCATTTATAGTTCACCAAGGAATATTAAACTAGCTAAATAAGTTTATTTTCCTGGAAAGAGCAAACATCATGCATCTACACATGAGTTTCTCTCAAGCTTTTCTAGTATTGCAGAACTATAGTGCAAGAGAATAAGGGCTTATGTCATGAGAAAATGAAAAATTTGCATTCTATTCTCTATCCCTAATGAGATTAAAATATCACTATTTAGTAATGGTCTACATAAAATAAATTATAGTTGCATGAGAGACGTTTTATTTAGCTGTCGAATTGGAAAAAATTTAATAAAACTCTAACCAAGTTCTGAAGGTCCTTAGGTGGGGCAAATGGTTTGCGCTCAACTGATAACCTAAAGGTTGGTGGTTTGAACCCATCCAGTGGTACTGTGGAAGAAAAGGCCAGGTGATCTGTTTCCATTAAGATTACAGCTAAGAAAACCCTATGGAGCGGTTGTGCTGTGTAACACATGGGACCACCGTGAGTCAGAATGGACTCAATGGCAACTAACAACAACAGCAACGATCAACTTCCAGTAAAGAAAAAACTAATTGTATTCCTTTATTTGTTTATTTAACCAGGACAGCACATTGACTCATGCGTTCAACAACTATTCATTTGACTGCCTCCTATGTGATATATTTTTTTTTATTAAATACTATATTCAGTATTCTTTCAAGATTTGTTCTTGATTAGTATGGATAACATTTCCATTTCCTACAGTTCATTGAGTTATTTCTTAAGAGGCACTGTTATAACTAGGAAAGATTTTAAGGCAGTGAATGCAAAGATAGAGCTGCAGAGCTGCCCCTGAGAAGCTCCAAGCCTGGCTGGCATGATGCTCCCTCATCAGGAAATGCTGTAACCCCATGGGAGGGTTAGGAAAAGACCTGAACTAACTTATTTTCCAATCCCCTACTAGTCTGTCCGTAAGTTCTAAAGTGATAGTTTACCTGCAGACCCAGCTCACAATAGCCTCCAGTGCTTCAAGCAACCTTATTAGTGGATGGTCCAGGTGAAGGCCCGATTACTCACCAGAGTCTAAGTTTTGACTTACCAAACCCAAATCCAAACCAGTTGTGGTTGAGTCACTTCCGACTCATGGGGACCCCGTGTGTGTCAGAGTAGAATTGTGCTCCATAAAGTTTGCAATGGCTGATTTTTCAAGTGTAGATTGCCCAGGCCTGTCTTCTGAAGTGCCTCTGGGTGGACTCGAGCCTCCAACCTTTCGGTTAGCAGCCTTTGCAGCCAAGAGCATTAACTTAGCAGCTGAGTTTGTTAACTTTGTGTACCACCCAGGGACTCCTGACTACCCACTAGGGACTAAGTATTAGGACACCAGAAAAGAAGGGATGCCAAAAAATGAGGGAGCATTTTGGAATTGTTCTGATATTTAGAACTTTGAAAAATCTCCTCATGGAAAAATCAGAAGTTTGTTGAATGTCTTCACATTTATGTGGTAAATATATATTTGCCTATGGATTTCGGAAGGCCACAACATCTTCAGTGCTTGAGAATACCAAAAATCTTAATCTGGCTTGGGTTTTTACAGCCAGTGCTGGTGATAAGACCAAAGCCTCCTCTGGGTATGACCGTTTTTAAAAACATAAATTGGATATCAGATAATCTCTCTCTCCTAATAAAGCCTTTCAGTACTTTCAC